GCTTTCAGCAAGCACAGAGAGTGCTGACGAAATACAGCCGGCATGAAATGCAGCCGGCGGCATAGAATGCAGCCGGCATCACCCAGTCTATGTTGAAACATGTCGAGGCTTGATGTTCACTTCGGAGGGGGGAGGGGGGGCAGGAAGACAAGACACGAGAGGTACGAGTATAACATGTCGAGGCTTGATGTTTATTTCGGAGGGGGGGAGGGTGGCAGGAAGACAAGACACGAGAGGTACGAGAATATGGTCGAGAGAGGGAAGGACGCAACTGCTTTTCTAGTCTTTCATTCGTTATTGTCGCTCGTGTGTAGAACGGGGGCTTTGGGGCTGTGGACGCTGCCTGGGGGTTGTATTACCGTAAGGATGCGAGAGAAGGCACGGGGGTGTCTGCGTTTTTCATAGGGTGATTTCTCCACAACCAGGATACCACTGCCGACAGGGGTGGTTTTGGAAATATCACGTCGAGGGCTTTCCTGGAAGGTATCGGTTGGTGTTCGCACCCTCCTAGTTGTGGAGAAATCCGGCTTTCAAAAACCGTAGCACCCCCGTGTGTTCTGCCGCGTCCTTTACGGTATTATGGAGTAGCAACAAACCGAAAACCGGTTTAGGAGGCAAGACTTTCGTCTTAGCACTTGGCACTCTTCGATTTGATAAGATGACTTTTTTCTTGAAAGGGACTCGCGGAGCGAGGGGAATGGAATGAAGGAAGGAAAAAAGGGAACAGGCGGGCAAGCACAGCCTTTGATAGCGTAGGTACGAGATTGAAGGGTGTACGCGAAAAGCAGCCCGCTGCACATCCGCAAACAGAGAGCTACCACGTATCTGTCCGTCCGGCCAAAACAATCTCGACCGACATGCACGCACGCATACATGACACCGTAAATACCCAACAACCCCAACACGTTGCCGCGCACCCCCCACCCCCTCCCCCCATCCTCCGCCCCATACAAACCACCAGCGAGACAAGAAAAGTTCGGCGTGTTTCTGCGAAAGCGGACGACTCTAGCCATGGAGGCATTCCTGTGCACGGTGGCGGCGTGCATCCTGGTTGCCCTGAGCCAGGTGCTGCCGCCCTACAGCCGCGGTCCCACGGTGACGGACGCCGGCGCGGGGGGCGGCGGCGGGGCGTGCTACATGATGATGGAGTGGAAGTTCCTCCTCCCCTTCTGCGTCCTCCAGACGGTGATCTTCGGCGTGCTCGGGTGCAAGCTGCGGAACGTGGACGACCTGCTGAACATCTCGAGCGAGCTGCGGGTGAACTTCATGCTCTACCTGCTCTTCTGCTTGCCGTACTTCGTGCTAACGCTGCACTACCGTTACCGCACGTGAGGGAGGCTGAACGGCCACGGGGATGTGGGGGTGGGGGGGGGACAAGAGACGGACACATGGGGGGCGGGGGGGTACGGAGTAGTTACGGTACTCGAGGGAGTCATGACCTGAGAGGCGGACCGTAGCACCCATTGGCATCGATCGGTTAACAACTAGAAGTACTAAGTAATGGTGTCGGTTGTGGATGTAGATGACGTTTTGCACTCGACTTCTGATGTGTGCCGTATGGCAAGAAGAACGCACAGGTGTCGTCGAGAAACACTTAAAAAGAGAATGAAGGAAGCGCCAGAAAAACTACCGCAGGGCTACAGCAATACGCTGGTATGCTTTTATTTAGCCTTTCGGACTTCGTTTTTTTACGGAGGATGGCGTACTGCTGCACACGATCTTTCCCGCGCGCCCGCCCATGAAGCCAGAACACCAACTCTTACAACCCTCCACGCCCCCCCCCCCCCCCCCCTTAACCAACCAGCGATGAGGAAGTGCCGACGTCCCTGCAGCTGCTGATCTCCGCCATGGTCGTGCTCGCGATGGTCAACACCATGTGGGCGAGCGTCGGAGGCCTGGAAGACGCCTTCGATATGATGGGTTGGGACTATCGCTCGGCGTTCTTCTACGGGGGCGGCGACGAGGAGGGGGAGACTTCCACCTGGGGACCCTCTTCGCACGGCACGGGGAGCGCCGCAAGCGTGGTCGCGGAGCCTCACAGAGGGACAACGACGAGAAGCGACGTGAAGAGGTGCGTCTGTGTGTACGTGCGGGCGTGCGTATTTCTTTGAATCGTCGACAGCCCTAACTTGCCGGGCATTTTTTTTGTTTTTTTTTGTCTTCCAGCGCTCACGGCACTATTTAGTGCCGTTTACTCCAACCCGTGGTCAGACAGAAGGGCCCCCCTCTACCCTCCCCTCCTCCTGCGGTACTTTGCCTTCGATTTTTAATGCGAGAAGAGTTCAGCACTCTCTTCCCTCTGTGGACACACGAACTAGCGCTATCCACTAGGCCAGGAGCGGAAGCGAGAGAAAAACTCACTTTGCAAGAAAAGCTCGCTGACGCCGGGATCCGAACCCCTGACCTGACCTGTAGAAGGTTTCGAGGATACCAACTAGACCACCGGGGCGACCGGCATTGCTCTTTTGGGAGGCATAAATATCTCTGTCTTTCGAGCTCCCACCTCTTGTTCTGGCCCTCCGCCTGTCCCTCTCTCTGTCCCTGCCTATGCACGACGGCTGCACCACGCACGCATGCCCCCCATCGGGACCGTCTGTCTTTTCTCTCTTCCTCTCTCTCTCTCTCTCTCTGCGTACCACGGCCCCATCCATCCCACACAAAACAACGCTATTATTGCCTCCTCCAGATGGAGGCAGCACTATTCCGACGTCCCGAGCATCATGCGCAACGCCAACATGGCGGCGGCGTTCGGCGCCCTGGCGAACCGGTTCCTCTGCGCGGAGTCGTACAACTTTCTCGTGTCCATCGCCGAGTACCGCGCCTTCACGGGCATGGGCGCGGGCCCCGGCCTCCAGCACCTGCTATTCATGGACCTGTGCAAGGTAGGCGTGTGGGGCGGAAACACAGCGCGTTCGTCGCTGACCTTGTGTTGCTGCACAATGGTCTTATGTCAAGGGGGCGGCGTTGCGGGTCGAGGTGTTTAGGTTTAGGTTTCGTACGATAACCCCACCTCCCCTCAAAGAGCGTAGGTAGGTTGCGGAAGGTACCACCCCCCAGGACCGATTTGAAGCTCGGTTACTCCGCACGACGAAGAGGATTGTCGGAATGACAGAGAGAGAGGGCGCCGGAATTATTTAATCGGGAAAAAGCTCTTCGGCGAAGGAGACGGTCCCATCGCCGGCGTCGTTTTCGGCACGCTGCAGAGCAATCGAGCTTCGAAAATCAGTCCCGGGGGGGGGGGGGGG